GGAGTCAAGATTCTCATCTCTTCCCTCATCCTGGTGACCCTGGAACACAAGCACACCTGGCCACAGGGCAGCACTGGCAGGGCATCACCCCCTGCCTGAAACACGCAGGCGAGGCTTCCCTGGCTCCTGGCAAGTCCTGCTCTCTGCAGAGCAGCTCTGTGCTTCTTGCCTTCTGCCTGTGCCTCTGGGTCACACTGAGCACCTTGACCAATGTGCCATCGGAGAGGTGACAAACAGGTCACAGCCCTGTGTTTGCTCCACTTGGCTTCAGTGGGGCTCAGTGGATGAATTGATCCTTGAGCATTGAAGACAGATCCTTACCAGGGAATGGGAAAGGTGTTACCCAGTTCTGCAGTCACTCAGTCTGACTAATTGCATGAAGGGTCATGGCTAGATTAGTTTTCCAAGCTAAAATCTTTTGTTGTTTGAAAGCAATAAATCTAAAGCAGAAACCAATGTCTATTCTCTAGAAATAGATTTATTTTCTGCTTTGCAGTTCTCAGGAATCACTGCTGAAATGGTGAACTTTTCTAAATGTCACTTAAAAGGTTCAGTGGTTTCTTCCTTCATTTCCTGAATCCAGTGTGTGTGTGCCTGTTGCTGTACCTAACCCTGCCTTGGCACTCTGTAGGAGCTCCTCTGTCCAAACTTTTCTCCAGTACTGTCCCTCACTTAGTCTCCTTTCCTTCCCCTGCTGCCTTACAAAGATTAATCCATTTTTTTTATCAGAATAAAATAACTAATAAATTTTACTGAGCAGTTATGTCTTCTAAAATTTGCAAATTTGAAAAGAATAATATACTTTTTTTCTCTAATGTTTACTGATTCAATATGGATTTGAAAATTCGTTACTTTTGAGATTTCCATTTCAGTCATTTCCTTGTTTTCATCTCCTTTTACTTGTTCTTCAAAACCTCCTGGTTGCCTTCAGTGCTTGTGTTTCCTGGTTTTTTCCAATGGTATTTGCATACACCAGTACCTTTGAGGAAAAATGCTTCAGATGTAACAAAACAAAGACTCTATAAGCATGGTCTCAACAATATAAATAGACACTAAAAATAAACAACATATCTTTCTTGCTTTCCCTTCATTGATAAGTTGGACATGTGAGAACAGAATTGATTTTAAAGGATATTAGGAATTTTGTTCCAGTGGTGGGGAGGGAACACAGCCTAGAAATTCTTTCTTTGTAACAGATCCTGAAAAAAGAATGGAGGCCTTCAATGGGTCTCCAGTGTAAAAAATGGAAGGAAAACTCACTTTTTGTCCATTTTACCCTTGCACTTTAGCAAGACGTACATGAAAGAAACATTCATGTACATTTACTTGACATTGTGAGTGAATTTGATTCCTGCTTATCTCTCTGTTGGACAGAAGGAGGAAAATCAAAATTGAGAAACTAGTTCACATACAAGTGTCTTAATGCCAATTTTTTCCCTCAACTGTGACTTTTAAAGCAAAGCTAGAAAAATTACAGGCCAAAGCTACATTTTAAGGAATGAATTGCAGAACAGAGTTCAGAAAAACTTGCAGATGCTTCCATGACTGGGAGCATCAAAAGGTCTCACAAGTTCCAGGTTTCTGTTTTGTTCAGGTTTAACCAGGTTTGCCCCATCCCTGAGGTGCTGCAGTCACTCTTGTCCTGGAGCTTGTTCCCACCTGTGCTGCCAAGGACTTGCTTGGGGAATCTGCAAGAGCCAGGGTAAAGCTCTTTATGCTGCTGGCACCCACTGCACCAGTCCCTGCAGGACAAGGTCCTGCTGAACCACCACGCAGAAATTTAATTTGTGCCTGTGGCTGAGCAATCCCACAGAGGAACCCACCCTGGGATCAATAGGATTGCATGAACAAAGCACATATTCAGCCATCTGGCTCTGAGCTTTTGATTTGTTTGGGTTTGGTATTTTGAAATCTATTTGTGGCCTCGCTGTTGACTAAAATTTTAGTCCTTCTCCACTTCCTCTCTGTATTGCTGGATTTCAGCCAAGTTTCTCCTTACTCATATCACATTCCTTCAAAGTCTGCCTCTCTCCAAGCCCAATCTATTGGCATTGCTGTGCTCTCTGCAGGCTTTCATCAGCATGTTAAACCCAGGATGGAGGAGAAGAACAAAGAGTCAATGTGCTAAGAGAAGCCTTTGGGTGATATACGTTCAAAAGGGATCTTTGAAATCTCAGTTACCTGAAATGGCATGTGTGAAACAGCCTGCCTTCCTGAGGTCATCAGCAAGGTGAACTGTTCTCATCACAGCACAATAAAAATGCCATTGTTTTATGTATAGCAATTCTGGATACACTCTCTCTTGCAGTGAGCAATTTGTCCAGGAATAAAAGGGAAGTGTTCACACTATACTGTTTATATGATCATTCCTGTTTGAGGAATCTTACCAGGCAAACTCTGTTAAAAGAGGTGAATGTGAAGAGGTAAAAATAACTTACAAAGAACAGAAAACAAGACAATATGTAGATCTGGCGGGGGGGATGGGGGGGGGGGCAAGATCAGAAAATACAGGACTGTTGGTTTTTTTATATCATTAAGGGGAACTAAAATAGTTGAAACCTTTCCTTAGTGAATTCTGAATGGCATAAATAGACTTCACCAGCATTGCTCACCCTATGAGAAAGATGCTTTTAGCTCATGTCCCCAACAGCAGCTAGAGGTGGAGGCTCAGGGAAGAGGTCACAACTGTGCCACCACACAACTGTGTCTACTTCAAGCACTCTCTCAGCTCCAGAAGTTAGTTACTGAAGGCCAAGCCAAAGATAATTTGTCAGCCAAGAAATATTCCAACTCCACCCTTAGTTGAAACCTTTCCTTAGTGAATTCTGCATGGCATAAATAGTGTTAGGTGCTTTCATGACAACATGCTCTACCAGCAGTGCTCAGCCTATGAGAAAGATGCTTTTAGCTCAGTCTCATGTCCCAAACAGCAGCTAGAGGGGGAAGCTCAGGGAAGCCAAGCCCAAGGTAATTTGTTTAACAGTCAGCCAAGAAATATTCCAACTCCACCCCCATAATCTTAACACTTTTTAAAACATACATAGACTTTTTTTTTGCACACACAACACTGTGTGGCAATTATTCCCCTGGCTTCCTACACTGCTTGTAAAACACAGCTTGAACAACTAAAAGTGGCATGTTTTTCAAATGTTCACAGGACATTTAAATGAACATCAGAAAGAATAAGTCTTAGCTCCTGTAACACAGTATGAGTCTGTGCAAGCTTTGGGCTTCTGGAGTCAAATTACTATAAATTCTGTCTTTTAATAAAACATGTTACTTCTCTCATTTTTCGAAGCCAGAGGAGCACTGTGATCAGGCAATTAGAGACACTCACACTGAGCGACTCAATTACTGTAGATGCAATTTTATGAGCAGATTAAAATCTTTGACCACTTAATGATGATTGAGTATTTCATGCCACCTCCTATTAGCAAAAAGGGACCCTCTGAGCAGTGGGAGCTTCTGTCATCGGGCCCTTGCCCTCCCAGGGTGACACTTTTCACACTGCTCCAAGGCAGCCCTCACACCACTGCAGGGGCACACACTCAGCAGCCACCCTGAAGGTCCATAAATGGCAAAAAAGTAACTTATAGCAACTTAAATGATGTAATTCTTGAGGAAGCTCCTCTCCTCTGTGCAAAAAGGGTTACTCTAATTTCTAACTGAAGGAGTTGGTGCTGGATTGCAGCCTGAGAACTGCATTAAAATAAAAAATAAAACAAAAAAAAGAGAGAATAAGGGCTGTTTACATTATCTTGTGATTTCGACGTCTCCTTGCCTCTACTGCAGGGTATGGTCCTTTTGGACCTTCCAAACACCTTCCTTGATACCCTCCTGTGATTTAAGAAGGAAGACTTTTGTCTTACTCAGTATACAGCAGGGTCATCCAGAGAAACCAAAAATCTATTTCCAACTCTTAAGAGGCCATTTATGAGTACCACTTAAGGCTTCAAACCATGGAATGTCTCTCACACAGAGCTATTTGCACAAGGAAAATCAGTTTTCAGGAACATGCAAACAAAAGAAACATGGGGAATGATTTCACAGAAAGCGACACCTTGCTTGGTTTTCCTTTAGAAAAATACTTACAGATGGCACTGTTTTATTTGGATTTTTTACTGTCACTTTAATTTACATGTCTTTTCCCCTTGTGCTGAATGAGGCTGTCATCCAGCTTTGCTCTCAAACACCAAGGACTGCAGGACTAAGAAACATCTTGCCAAGGTTCACGTGTCCCTGGTGGAATTTTGCAGCTCAGCTCCTGCAGAACAGATCCCTTTGGCAGATTCTGCCTGATGGCCAAGAGCAGTTGGAGTACACAAAACAAAGTGTTTAAAGCTGTGTTTGAAAATATTAATTCCTGAAAGATGTCATTTACAACTCTGTTATGCATTTTATGAACTTTAGCTTATGCACAACGTGGGCAGAATACAGCAGAGTCAAATTTAAGGGGAAGAAACAGGCCTTTAGAGAAACCCAACACTAGGGCAACACTACTGAAATTAATTCCTTTCAGACACAAAGGCAACTTTTCGGTGTTCCCTTTGAGCTGCCTCAAAGCAGCTGTTTGCCCTGACACATCTTTTTTAAATCAAGGCTGGCATGTAAGAAAGCAAGAGCAGGAATTTCTCCTTGTTTAGGGCAGATTTCTCTCTCTCTTTGTAACTCAACAACTTCCCTCCTTTTGGTTGAATAATTTTCCTCACACCTTCCATGGTATTCTCCACTCTAAGGTATAAATTATTTATATTTTTGTGCATTAAGAGGCAGAACTCACTGCTTGACCACTGACAGACCTACAGCCAACAAGGAAGGAACAACACAAATTCAATTGAAGGCTCTGCTACCAGTTGTCTGGAAAGAGGGTAGTCCAACAGTCCAACTGGACAAACTTCCAATGAATCCATAAATTCCATAAAAAAAAACAAAAACATATCACTAATAAAGAAAAGCAAATATTTTGCAAATTATGATCTATTTACCTACCTGACCTCCTCATCTTCTCCAAGCTACAGGTTACAGCCAAGCTTTTCATCCAGGCCATATTTTCCAGTTCTGCAGTTCAACAGTGATGAAGAAAAGGATTACTGGATGGGGGAGGGGCCATTAATTATTAATTTTTATTTAAATTCTCTCACAAAAGTAATTTAAGAATGAGATACGCATCTATATATGTGCCATACCCCACACAAACAATTTCATGCCATTAACACCCGAGGCCAATCTCAACATCCAAGCACACAATCTGTTCCACACACAGAAGTAAAACCCAATCATTACAGTTTTCCCACACAGATTTTCTTTTGGGAAGAGACAAAAACACCTTTTTATGATCTGATGATTACCTGATAATCAGTTCTATCTGTTCATTCCTTGTGAACATCCAGATGCAATAAGCACACATGAGCACGTGTGCCACCATGCTGGAGTGGTCTGGGGCTTTGTTAAAATAGAAGACAAACAGTGATTTAAAGCATTACAGGGAATTTTGTCTTCCTTTACACAACAGCTGCTGCACACATATATCATGAAAAATTTCAGTTCTATCCAGTTAAAGGTCATAGAAATTTTACCTTTTTTATTTCCAGCTTCGAAATGTGCTGAATGGCCAGGTCTTTGTGGCTTTTTATAACTATTTAATGTTTCTCTCAGCCTGTCATACACCTGAAAACCAAACTAGAGTCTGAAATCCTATATAAGGTTTTAATATGCAATGGAGGTTGATATTTGCTCAGTGACTTTCAGTAATTCATTATCCTGGCTCATACCATTAAATAGTCCTCCAGAGCTAACCTGCATTATCTGGGTACTTCAAAACTATCAGAGCTATGAGATGAATCAGATTTTTTGGGGTTGTTTTACCTTCTTTTCTTTTTAGAAAAAAAATATTAAGCTTTCCATTTTAGCTAGTTTTACTGAGGAAGGCAAACCCATTGTCAAGCTTCACTGAAACGTGACAGAAAGAAGAAAGGTCTCCAACAGGTTCCTACAAGCCTTCCAAAGGCAGGTGAAGAGCTAGAGGAAAAAGATCCCACAACTGCCCTGGCAGAGAGAAGCACACAGCAGAAGATGACATAATATTCTAGGCTGGAGAATCAACACAGCAGGAAAAAAGCCAGAATGCAATGCCTGGACAGCATGGACAACTTCAGCAACCAGCAATGAAAATTATAGATTCTCATGAGCACCTGAGAAAAAATGTCCTTTGTTTTGTCTTCTGGTTCCAGGACAATTTTATATTTAAGACCTAAAGACTTTTTGCCTATAGATTTCATGTTGAAGCCATACAGCAGGACTGCTCACAAAATCCACTCATTCTATTTTCTATTTGACTCTGGGTAGTTACCAGGCATATGGTGTTTTCCACAAACCCCCTGGAATATTCCGTATTTCTTACCTTTCTCTGGTCACTACAAACCACTGCATGTGAGCCACAGCATTGACTGGAAGCTCTGAAGTACAGAACTCCAAAAATTAATTCAGCAGAGCTAAAATTATAGACCAATGTAAACAAATTGAAGCTCTATCAGAAAGTCTTGCCTTTCACTTTGACATCTAATAGCTCAAAGTTCCATCAAAAGCAAAACACCATTTCTGAACTCTTTCACAGCTGGCTTTTATGCTATGATAACCATTAGTGTCTCACTTTCTGTTCCTTTTATCCCACAGGTTATAAACACAGACAGAGATGAGGAAATTGCAATGTGTGACAAAATGGTGATTCTTTGGAGCATATTTTTGCAGTATAAAACATTATGCTCTTCTTTCTCTGCCTGTCTCTTTTTCTCTGCTTTTTTCCCCCATGAAGTCAATTCCCACAGTAATGCTCAGGGCAGAGTGTATCACTGCAGGGCCCAGATGGTTAACTGTGGAGAACTATTCTCCATCTGGTTCCTCAGCAATTTCCTTAAGCAGATAACTTGCAGCACTGGAGCTGTGAAGTTTTCCATGCAGCTGCTGTCTTTAGAGATGCTTGCCCCGTGTCTGGCTTTGGTTCTAATTTAGGAGGAGGAGCAAGGTTATGATAAAGTCCCACAATATTATCAAAATCACTTGGGAACAGGAGAAAATTTTTTGGGATTACTTTTTCTCCTAACAAGTGTCTTGGGTTTTGTAATAACTTTAAGTCCTTTAAATTTTTACACCGTTCAGTATTTCTTACTTTCCAAACCAAGGCAAACACTTATTTCCTTTAGCTGCATGCCCCTTTAGTGAGAACATAGACTGTTTTAAACATCAAGATGCTATTGCCTAGTAAAAAAGGTGATGCAAAAAATCTGTGGTGATGTTAAGAATAAAGTAAAATCAGCGGCAAAAACTTACTTCCAACTAGCAACTAGAAAGTCTCTCAGTGCATCTGGAGAAAAAAAAAGAGATGACCTGAATGCTAATACATGTACAGATGGGATGTTTGGACTGCAAAGCAGGAAAAATCCAATAGAAAATAGAAGAATATTTTAAGAAGTCCTAAAATAAAACCAGAAAGAGATTTTCTGCACTCAAGCTGCCAAACTCTCCAAGATCCAGTGAGCCTGGATCTTTCCTCAGGCTACAATGAGGTTTGGATCAGGCCACCACTTAGAGAAAACAAATAATAAATTTGCTGGAAAATATTCTAGAAGGATGATGTTGGATGGTTTGATTCTGTGAGGAAGGCACCTCCCTTCATCTACAAGAGTTATTAATACTAAAAGCCAGGAGTTAGAACTGCTTTGTGCTGCTACCAGAGATGCTCCTTCATCCCCCTGGGGTGACCATGAGCACTGCCAAGATCAGCTGGGTGATATTATTATTATTATTATTATTATTATTATTGTTATTGTTATTGTTATTGTTATTATTTATTAATCTGCAAACCGTTTATCCCTCATCACTTCTGGAAGAGAGCAGGGTTTGCAATCCAGAGCTGGTTTTGGCTGGAGCAGGGTGACTGTGGAGAAGTGTTTCTTCCCAGCCAGGCTGCTGCCTGCTGCTCCCAGCTGCCTTTGGATGGAATAGTGCTGAGCTGGTTGGTTTTTCCAGGCTGGAACCTGAGCTCCAAGCCAGAGTCAAATATTGAGTAGGCAAAACCACAAGGAGCAGACAGCTGCTCTCTGGTCCCAGCCTTGGCCCAACACTTTGAGGGTGGTGTGGAGCATTCATAATTAACCAAAACTGACTTTTTGTAAGTTTCTCAGGAAGTCAGTAAAGAGATGATGAAGAAAATTCACATTTTTAACTGTTTTAAAACTCAAACTAAGCAGAATTTTACAGGATTATAAAAAAAAATCCCTTTTGAGCAGGGTCCTTTCTCCCAGCCAAATAGCAGAGGGACAATACACAGGAAAGAGCTACTACATCTCAAAGGAAAACAACATGCTATATTTAAATTGAGAGGTTAAGAGGATTATTCTCTAATAAGTGTCAGGATTAAACAAAAAACCCAGATATATAAAATTAATGTCAGAATGCAGATTCATATGTAATGGTTTCATGGGAGATGGTGAAGGGAAGTGGCCAGTGTGCTGAGGATGCAGTTTGAACAGACAACGCAAGGCTGAAATACTTAACATAACAAAGGAACTAGAAATTAAATGGAATTAAGGAGGTAACAGATAGAAAACGCTCCAGGCTGCTGTTTCACATTGTTCTGGTTTCAGCTGGGAGCTAACATTCTTCCTACTAACTCATACAATGCTGTATTTTGGATTCATTATGAGAGAAATGTTGATAACACACTGGTATTTAGTTTTTTCTCAGTTTTTGGGGTTTTTTCCCCCCAGAGTTAAATATTTTTCACTTTGCCATGCTCTGTCAGTGAGAAGTTGCACAGGATGCTGGAATGGAGCATGGCCAGAACAGGAGACCCAAAGGGGCCAAAAAAATATTCCATATCATTATAATTAGCAGTGGTAGTTGCTGGAGTATATTTTACTTTAACTGTTAATCTGGTTTTATCTCAACCCTTGGGTTTTACATTTTTCCACTTCTCCCATCCCAGCAGGTGTGGGCAGTGAGAGGCTGTTTCCAGCTGGGGTTAAACCACAACTCACAGTCCTGGCCAAAGGAGCAGGACAGATGAGAGAAAGGATTCATATTGAACAAATTCTTCCAAGTTCTTCACAAGCAGAAACTTGAAAAAGAGAGAAATAACAAGGAAATATTTATGAAACTTTCCTCAAGGGAAAAGGGCATGGTGGATGGGGAATTAAAGTCTTAATGAAATAAATTGAAATATCACACTTCACAGAAAAATGAAGAGAAAACCATCATTCTTAGAGCTAAGCATTTATTATTTATACCTACTTTCCCCAGTGCACATTCCTTACCAGGAGGGAACTATTCAGAGGCTGATTTTTATTTCCTTTTTTTTTGTTTTTATCTGATATACATCCCCATATCCTTCCTACTTGTGATTATGTCAATCAGCCCAATTCCTTTGACATGAATGGATACAGGCTCTTTGCTCCACCTCAGGAGTCTGCCTCATCACCTCATGATGAGAGAGATTTATTATTAAATATTAATTATCATTATTGTTATTTTTATATTTGTTCCTACAAGCATCATTTCACTAATTACAAAAAAGTCTTTCTCTAGTTTTTGTATGCTCCTCGAACATTAATTTGTGCAGCAAAAGTAAAGAGTTTTTTGCCACATTTCCTTTTTAATGGACCTGTCATCTCAAAAAAAAATAGGAGAAATAAAGATTTGTAAATTTCTTTAAAATTTTAAATTTCTTTAAAATGTTAAGGGAATCTAAGTGGTAACAGATATGCAGAGTGATACTTCTAAGGAGAACTTCTAAACTGAGTCACATTTGAGTATTTTAATGAATGTAAAATGTCCCTACTGCCTTGAGAAGAAAATTCCCAGGTGAGAGGACGTTTTTTCTTTACCTTATTCTCCCTGATAGCCATGATGACAGACCTGTGGGCTCTGGAGCCTCCAAGGAAACGTGCTGCACTCTTATTAAAGGTTTGCAGTTGTGCTGTTCTCTCCCCTTGTCTCCAGATTCCAGCTCTGGACTGAAGTGGATGCTGAGGGATGTCTGGCTATCCAACTGACCTGTTTCATTAGAAGAAATTCACCCATAAAATATAACCTGGGATATTGAACTAAACAAACATTTCACTTCAGTGGGGGCAGCCACTTTAAAGTCTGTAAAAGAGTACAAAAATGTGCCAAAAAAGGAAATTCCTTAAGAGCTTTTTTTCCCCTGCTCTGGGTGCTGAAAGTAAATTAAATTAATTAAACACAACAGATTTTTTTTAAAAGAGCAATATACCAGCTGTAGTATTTTGGATTTTTTTTCTGCATTTTTTAAGTAGCTGACAAACTATATCTGTTCATGGTTGATCCTTCAAGGCCTCTAATTTGTTTGAATTTCAAGGAAACTGAAAAAATAATGTGAAAGCCTGAAGGCCAGTAGCTTCTAGCAGAGGCTTCTCTTTCCCATTCTGTAAATCTAATGATGCATGCCATCCTGAGCTACGAGAGATGTGCTGGACTGTCATCTCAGCTGTCAAAAACATGTGGCAGTTTCATTTAGTCTGGAGCAACTTTGACCACTTTTGCCAAATTTCATTAGGACAGATTTGCAGATGATGCAGCTGACACAATTGAATTCCAGCTCCCAGCAGTTCGTGTTGGAGGGACAGATGCTTGTGAAAATATACAAGCAGAACCAAGAGCAGGGTGACCACACAGTGGGAAAACGACTTCATCCCATTAGCAATTGACCATGAGCAAGTCTTGGGGAGCACAAGTATCAAATATGCACCGATAAAATTATTAAAAATATTTTTTTAAGTATGTGGAAATAGTAAGCTTACTTGGGAAAAGGTGAAAGAGAAACCTCAGGCATGATTTTTTCAGGTTCCTGTATCCTGCTGATGGCACTGAATGAAGTGCCTAACCTGCACCTACTTCCTGAGAAATCAAAGCCATTTCAGGTTTAGGTGAAACAACTCTCTTAAATGATACAAGGAATTTCAGCAACAACCTAGGAGGTGCTGCCCATGCTTAGAGACTCCCAGTGACATTCATTTGTTCCTAAGAGCTGTAAACCAAGACTACTTCCAGTCATTTTCCATATATGCTTTTACATATTCCTAAAACTCAGAGTTTGTGTGGGATTCCCTGTCATGCTTCATTATAAGACAGATACAGGAACTTCAGGCTTAAAATACTGTAGGTTTCAAAAAAAAAATATATTTTTAAATATATATATTTTCTTATACACACAATACACTGCAAAGGCACAGCCAGAGGTGACTCTACTCGGAGATTATTTTGTGTAATACACGTAGTCTCCTTCTATTTTTAAGTCCACACTTTAGCTCCTTGCAGCTGCAAGTTTTGTCTTAAATGGGAGAATAAATAAATAAATCCCAAAGAACAGAGCTCATAACAGCACATTAGCATAGATTCCTTTGTGCTTCTTGCTCCAGATGCACTGAGGAACAGCAAATCCTTTCAAGTGCTTCGCAGCAGCTCCATCAGTGAATCTTTTTATTATCATCACAGCAGTTAAGGCTGCATCTACACTGAGAGGGAATTGTACACCAAGCTGGGATGTGAATTTGTGTCATATCAGCTCTTTACTGCCCTGTGTGGGTATTCAAGACTGTGCTAAGGGCAGATTTGACATCCATTTGTTCTGGCAGCCTGTGCCATTCTCCTCTCCCCCTCTTGACCACCCAGCTCCTTCCAACATCTCCCTTCAGGCATCCTGGTACAATTGTTTGTGACACTGTGGGAAGAACTGATCCAGAATAATAAAAGCCATTTTTACTAGGTTATTTGAAACCTGTTCCAATCCCTTGAGGTAGTTCAAGGCATGGATGCAAAAATACCTGCACAGCTGAGGAGGAGGTGAAGAAACAGAAACAGGCAGGCAGCATGAGCAATCAACCTCTCACCCTGCTAAATAAGTATAGCAATTTACACCCAGCAAACAAAATACCTCAAAATCCTACATTCCCCAAAACAAACAAACCAAAACCCAAAAAAACATACCACAATTTCATTTCTGTTGTTTTAGAGATTGAAATTGGCTCACCAGCAGAAGCAAACTGCAGTCCCAGGGCAAGGGAAAAAGGTGCGAGTATTCAAAAAGGTATGGAGAGCAGGACCATGGAGGGAGTGACTCCATCTCTTTGGCACCTGATTGCAATTTGATTTTTTTCAGCTGTGGCTGAAAAAATGCCCCATTTGGTATTCATGTCATCAGTTTGTTAAAGTGTTTGTGCAGGAAACAAGGCGTTTCTGTGATTCCACTCTTAAGTTCACAGTTTAGGACTGCTGACCTATCTGTTTTTCAGAAATCTGATAAGAGCTGGGTTCCAGCTGGGCAGTCAGTCCCTCTCTTGGGGTTCTGGAGACTGACAGAAGTTAAGTGATTTCTGCAAGCAGAAGGCTATTCTAAGCTATATATTTTTTGTTAAAAATCCATAGAAACTAGAACAGTATTACTTACTATTTTTGGCCAAATGACAATCACTATGTGAACAATTCACACAGCATGCACCACCATTGGAGCAGAAAAAGTACAAACCAACACCAGTCAGAACTGAGCAAATATTTGCATTTAAATATTTTGCATAAGAAGACATTAAAGAAAAACCTTTTCCTACATCATTTAGAAGAAAGAATAAGCATTGTGCTGCCATCAGTGTGAAACTTTTCTTTTTAATTCAATTTGCTTTTGAAAATCACACTGTTTCCTTGAAGAAAAAAACCTGCATAAAACTTAGATATGGAAAATGAGAAAAAGATACTTGGGTTGCTCAAATTTTTCTGGACCAAAAGAACAAGATTTGAAATTGTAAAATTGCTAGAGAAACAGAGAGTCTGCGTGCTTCCCAGCTTTAATGACATGGCAGGGAGTGATTCTGGCGCTGCAGAACGTGGTTTGAAAGGGAGAATTCCGCTGGCAGGGGCAGAGGAAATTTCTCTGCTGTCAGTCAGCAGGAAGCAGATGGCACGTCTTGGCTGAGTGGGTTCTCAGGCATCTCGTTTCAGCAGCCACTTCAGTGTAGCTGACAGCACCCTCAGAGGTGGAACTCGCTACCTGAGCACGGCTCTGACAGCCCCAGTGAGGTGAATCCCCAACCACTGCAAGATCAGTGAGAAGTGGGAGCACAGGAGCTCTGCCTGCCCTGTGCAGGGAGAAACTTTCCTCCTGTCTCCAGGTAGTTATTTGCAAACTCTTTAGGGTAATAGGTGAATTGTTTCTACTGTGATTATTTAGCAAAAAAACAGATGCTATTATTTCTGTTATTATTGTTGTTAGCAGCCTGAGAGTGTCAAAAGCAGGAAAATAATGAAAATAGTCTTCACCTGTCATAACAGCTTAGAGCAACAAAAATATTTTTAATGACTCCTGCCTCATCAGGGAAGCTCAGAAATTGTACAGGAAAACTGTGTGGGATGCCTTTTGTTATGAACATTGTGACCCCATTGCCTGGGTGACTTTAGGTGTGCAGTCCTCCATGGTGGAGGACTATTCCCAGCTCCCTGGGAATGCTGAAAAGCCCCGTGGAAGCCAATTCCCTGCTGCTTCTGAAAATGCCAGTAGATATTCACTTGGTACTTTAGGCACTTGAGAAAAAAGTGGCCCTAGAATTCTCACCTGCTCTCACACATTGTCATTGTGTGACAGTGCCAGGAACTGAGCTCCAAATTTTTGAACACCAGGCCAGTGCCTGGAGCAAAAAGCATCCATCCTCACTCCATCAGTCTGATAGAAAAAGTTATTCTGGATGTCCTCTTACTCAGCAGGGCTCTGGTTAATACAGGTGTCACCGAGTGATGCAAACAGCCATCAGAGAATCAAGTTCCCCGTATAGGTATTATACACCATCTTAAAACCTGACAGTAACTGTCCAAATACAGTAGTTTGGTAAAAAAAAACTCTACAGAACTCACTCTTTCATTCCAAAAAATAGCAGGCAACATAATTTTGAAATGGATTGATTCTCCTTGTCCATGATCATATGTTTGTTCTCTTGTCTGGCACAAACCATACATGCAAATCAGGAGACAGAGATCTGTCAGCACTCACATGAAGACAAAAGGACACTTGGAGGTGGTTTGGAGTAAATAAGGCATAAACAGATATGTAGAGTCCAGACCTAAATTTAATAAAGCCCTGGTGCCCCAGTCATTAGTGAAGAGGTATCACTTCATTTATTGACTATATAGGAACTGAGAGAGTGATGCACAGCAGGGTGAGGCCAAGAACTTACACCCAGTATCTGTGCTGAAGAACAAGTTCCAAGTATATAAAACACCTGTAGATTAATTGAAATCATCAGCACATAGGCAATAAATCACTTTACTGACAGTATTTATCACTCCATCGAATCTAAACCCATTAATTCTCTTTTATTTCTTTGGCTACAACCAGACTGTAGATATAAAATTGGCTTTTATGCAAATGAATGTTATTGCCATGAGACATTGAAATTACTCTGGCAGTATCATCCAAAAAGCCATAGGCACAGCATAGTTATGTTCTGCCTGTGTATGTTGTAACTGTTGATTTTAGGCATTTTACTGGATAGCCCACTGAATGAAAAGAGAAAGATAGAAATGCACAGAAATTTAAATGTGAAGAGGAAACCCCACACTGTATTTCATCAGTCTGCCACCTACACCAACAATAGCCTATAATAAAAAAGGCAGATATGGTCACAGTTCTTCTTCTTATCAGGGTGATCTGAGGGGTATTGAGACAGACAGACAAGGATACAAAGAGTTCATGGGCTAATTTCACAGGCTACAGCCACTGCAGTGGTCTTATTAGGCAAGGTTGCACAGAAAAGAGAAAGGCAATAAATCTATGTGAGTTTCCTTGGCCAAAAGAAAGCAGTGCCATGAAAAAAAAGTGCAAGAACAAGATCCTTGGAAAAAAACCAAAATGTATTGATTGGTACATCACTCACTATGAACAGAATTAAAATGAAATTTGTATAAATAGCACGTCTCAGCTATTAATGTGGCTGGTCATCTGCCCACCCCTTCTTTAAACAAGTGTTAATTCTATGAACCCAGAGGGTGGGGAAAAATACATAAGACAAAAATTAGATGCCTTGAGCCTTTTTTCTTTCTTGCAGAACTGCTGCAGATGATTTATTAGTGAATGGATATCTGCCATCCATTTTGAAATTAAAAATCCCTTGGAGACTCTGCAGCCCCCTCCATTACATTACCAGTGTGTGCAAGGCACAAAGGTACAGCTGGGACAAGAACTGTGCTCCATCAGTCAAAAACTCTACTTTCTTCCCAAGTGCCAAAAGTCTTGAATCATCCTCAAATCATCATCCTCAAATCCCCAGCATGTTTAAGCATGTGCTAATAGGACAGTATTAAAGTATTAAAGGATATAGGTTAATCCCAGTGCTCTTGTGCCTTGGTCTCTTGGTGGCAGCTGGGGCTTGGAGTAAAGAAGTGACATACTCAGACTCCATTCATGAGTGGTGAGGAGGGAGAGAGTCCAAGTGAGATTTCAGAGAAACATTCTCCATTTCTCCTCTTCAATTTCACTTTAGTTTATGGCCTCAGTTTCTACAGGGTGAGTTTAAGCAGGCACAGGGTCTGGCCTCTTGTCTCAGCCTGGGTAAACAGGGGAGATAAACTGCTTCTGTGTGTGCCATGTCCCAAGGCTAAGTGCACTCTTCCATGAAGCCACTGTCAGAAATGAAGGGTAATAATGATGCCCAGGAGACAGGAGAAAACTGGAGAGGAGAACAAAATAGACAGGCAGACTGGCACACCTAAACCCTACTCTAGTTCAGAATCCTCAGCTGGGCCTCTACACTCCCACAAAAATTTTGTGCCCTTCTGACTCCCCTGTTGGCATGTTGTGATCACCCTTGGCCGGAGAAATTGTGTTGTATTTTTATGTTAGGAAACAACAGGTTTATTAGTGTTAAATAACTAAAGGGTTGCTGAGGCTCCTCAGGTCTGGCTCATACTGTGTGTGATGTTTATACACAGGTATATATTTCATAACTGGAATTTAAAATGGATTTTAAGATCACTTCAGAACACTTTCTCTGACAGTCATGAGAATACAAATGCCCTTCGCCAGGTTTCCAGAAATGCCAACATTATGAGAGGGATTTTGTGTGGTTCAGAGATGGAATTTTCAGCCTGCCAAGCTGATGGCACAAATTTTCCTCATGCTTTGGATGCTGACTCCAGCCTTCTGCTGCAGTTACCTGATGGGATTTGCCCTAGAGCACACACACAGCTATTACACTGCAAAACACATCAGCTCCTCTCCTTGAAATAACTTTGCAACTGGCCTAGGGAGCCAGAACCATAAAACTTGCACAACCTGGGCATTTCCCACCAGGCAGCTGTAGATCAACCAGACAACTTATCTAAGGAGCTGCTAATTGAGAGGACAGACCAGTGGCTGGGATTAATTAGTACACCTCAGCCTGCGATGACTCAGGTCCCATCTGCAGGGAACATGAACACGTACATGCCTCATAATTTTATTCAGACAGCTTTGTTGCTTACATTACTTGTCACATCTTAAATAATTAGGGTAAACTACTTCTATCTGATAGAACTTGTTAAATCTTAAATAATTGGGAAGAAAAAAGACTGAATAATTATTTTTTTTTGCAGTCTCTTGGTGACAGTTGTATCCTACGTGCAGACTTTTGCCAATACACTGGAGGTGACCAAAGAAAAGCCCATGGGATAGATCTGCTTTTGCACCTTAGAAATAAAAGTTGAGCACAAATAGATCTTTAGAGCCTGATGGATTTAAACATAAACTATTCTTCTCAACTTTTAATGGATGTATATGCCATGGTTCTAGTTTAAGATATCAGTTTAGAAGACGCTCAGCTAAGAAAGGACTTAGGACTTTTACAGCTTGGCCAGAACAAAGTCTGGTCTATTCTTCATCCAGGTTTTTTGAAGTCCCTGGAACATCTATTTTTTTTCCCCAAAGAAAATGATTCAATATTTTATTTTCTAACAACAGCTGAGCTGCCATGCACAGGGACCTTAGTAAGAGAAACTTGTTCACATCA